ACACACACACACACACACACACACACACACACACACACGCAATCATGAGGAAAACCAAGCAGGTGGCCGGTCCTAGCACCCCTCAGAGTACTCACCTGTGGCACCGCTGTGCCGTGACTTTTCATTTCCACACCTGGCTCTTGGCACCCTTTAAAATCAATAACAAGACAATGCACTGGCGGGCTGTACCGACAGCAGCGAGGTGACATTTGAGTCACTGGGTGCTGTGATGAATCAAATCAATAACTGGAGCGGATGTTTACTCTACGTCACCCTTCCTGTCCCCATCACTCGGGTGTGTGACACATCAGTTGCTGGATTACACCCAGCCTCGGAACACCGTTCCTTTGGCAGCTTTGTGAGGTGGCCTCACGGGTCACAAGGATAGCTCCAGATCCCTCTCCTGGAAGAACGCTGCCCCGAATTGAAGCATCAGCCTGCGTCACTGCCTGAATCATAGCAACCTCAGCACACAGCGTGTGAGTGAGGGTCTGTGCAATCCGGCTCTGACTGTGGCCGTCTGCTCCCGTGCACTCGCTTGTTCATGACGGGATGGGCAGAGCCACCTGGTCTAACAGCACAAGTTGCTCCAGAGTCTGGGTGCTCTGCGGTGGAGGGGCCCTAAGCCCAGGGCCTACCTTTAAAAGTGATCAGTACACACCTTCCCCCTTCCAATATGGTGGTCAAGGTCAGGCAATAGAGTGAAACAATCGACAGTTCTGTCCTGCCTGAGCCAGCCTCTGCCACTTGAGAGGAAGGGGTGTCACCACAGTGCTGCACTTCCTTGCTAGGCTCTGGAGGCACGGTATGCCTGTTGTCTGTTCCTCCTTCCAGAAGAGGAACTGTGGCTTGAGGGGCCTTACACAGACAAGACTTCCCTGTCTTGGAGGCTGGATGTCCAAATCCAAGGTTCTGGTAGCTTCAGTCCTGGGGAGGGCTTGTGTCCTGATTTGTGGACAGTGGACTTCTTTAACTGTTTTCACATGCAGAGAATCCTCAGTGCTCTCTCTCTTAAAGGGGCACCAATCACACTCTGGGGGCCCTGCCCTCCTGATCTGACCTCTATTTTTCTCCTGTGACCCCATCACACTGGGGATTAGAGTTTCAACAGACACACATGTGGGGTGTGCCCAGGGCCTTGGGACTTCTGCACAGCCATGCCAAAAGTGCTCAGCTTAGAGAGAAAGCTTGAACATGGTCCAGGCTGTCTGCTTCACTCCCACAGGCTGATGGGGACATGGCCATCCTGACTGGGTTGGGGAAGACAGGCTGGGGCTCAAGGGTTGACTATGGAGCTGGGTGTCCCCTGAGGACACCTGGTTCCTTCATGTCTGTGCCTGCCTGGCACCCAGAACTGAGCCCTGTGTGACAGCTCAGTAAAAGGCGAAACGGGAGGGGACAGAAGGGTACTGGGGAGAGGAATAAGGAGAACAAGGCATAACGATACATCTGTATGAAGATGTCATGGTGAAACATTATTTTGTATACTAACCTGAAAGTTCATTTAAAAAAACTTTTATAAAGAGATATGTGGGGCTAGAGAGATGGCCCAGCAGTTAAGAACACTGGCTGCTCACCCAGAGGGCCAGGGTTCATTTCCCAGCACCCATCTCGCAGCTCATAATCCTGAGGGGCGGTATGATGGCCTCCTCTGGCCTCTAGAAGTACCTGCAGGCTCATGGCACATGCGTACACACACACACACACACACACACACACACACACACACACACACACACACACAGTTACAGCCATCCTCCACCCAAAGCACAGGGCAGATCACAGCTTCCTACGTTACGCTCCTGAACAGCCCTTCCCCATAAGCAACTACGGTGCATGTCACCCTGTCCACCTGTTTGAAAGCGGATGTGAACACACTTTTGGGGGGTGCCAGCCTGGAGGTCAGAACAGCAGCGCATGCTTCTGAGGCTCCCCGGGAGATCCGTGCATCCCCCATGACCGTGGAAAGCACTGTGCAGGGAAATGCTGTGCGGATGATGGGTTGTCTCGCGCTGCCAGCTTGTACACAACGTCTAGTATCATGTAAAACCTTGGTGTCGTGACTTCTGGGTTGCGGTGACCGACGCCCAATCGAAGCAGCGTGCAGGACGGCTCGCTTTGCTTGCGCTTTCAGAGGGTTTGGAACATCACAGAGGGATGCCAGCAGAGCAGCTGGGTCCACCGCTGAGAGGAAACCGGGGCTAGAAGGCCAGCCACGTGTGCTCCACATCCAGCTAACCCTCTCTGGGGCACCCAGACACCCAGTGGCCTCCATGACAAAAAGGCAGTCGCCTGGCCTTCCCGAGTTGGCTCTGGCTGCTGTCACAAAGCTCTGCAGACTTCGTGGTTGAAGTGACAGAGGTGACTCCCAGGGGTCTAGAGTCTGGAAGGGCAAGACCACGAGGAGTCACTTCTACAGAGGTGCTGGACGCTGGGCTGTGAGAAGAGGCCTGGGAAGGGGGTCTGTGGGAGAGGAGAGGCGGTCAGCTTGGAGGTGGGGCCGCTGTGACAGTGCCCCAGTCCTCACTCCTTTTCCTGTGGTGCTTGATGCTCTTCCTATTAAGAGAGGGACCCTGATGGGGACTGACTTTGACCCCCACCAAGCTACATGCTGGAATCCAACCCCCAGCACCCCAGAAAGTAACTGGCTTAAGGCGACAGAAGGGACTAAATAAAAACTGAGGTCACTATGGTGGGTGGGCCCTACTCTAGTATGATTGGCGTCCTAGAAGAGACAAGAGGGGGTGTTGGGAAGATAGCTCAGTAAAGTACTTGCTATGCAAGCACGAGGATGCCTTTGACTCTCCAGAACCGTTGGAAAAGCCAACGGTGTCGGCGTGTGCATCCGATCCCAGAACTGGGGAGGTGGACCCAGGTGGACCTCTGGGCCTCACTGGTTATCCAAGCTAGTCAAATTGGTGAGCCCCAGGCCAGTGAGAAACTGCCTCAGAACAACATGGCTGGCTCCTCTAAGGAATGGCCCCAGAGGTTGGGCACTGGTCTCCACACAAGCATGCACGCATGCTTGCACAGAAGAGAACAGGACAGGGACAGTCAGGACAACTACGGCACGCACCAGGAGCGTAGACAGAGTAGCCAGCATGCCCGTTACCTGAAATACACACCTACAATGACCATTGCTTGGTTGTTACACACTAAAAGTCCCCTTTGTGTGCCAGGAACCTATGATTTTGTTTTGTGACAGGGTCTTGCCTGTGGCTGGCCTCAGCTTGAGGTTCTCCCGCCACCATCTCCCACGCGTTGTGATTGCGGGTGTGCATCATCGCGCCTGCATCCCTGTGTTTTAAGAAAGAATGTCGCAGCTAGCCGAAGACATGATCCCCCTTCAGGTGGTTGCTGTTCGTGGGTGTCCCAGCATAAACGTGAAGTCAGTCTTGGCGTGTAGTTCAAACTCTCTCTGGGTAAATTCGAACAAGCATCTGCTCCCACCAACCACGGGTGAAAGCTGTGATTCCACAGATGCTCAATCTGGTAACTTGATGAATTTAGTGGGCTCACGAAGCATAGGTGAGGGGTGGCAGGCAGGAGCGCCGATCACCCCCAAACCAGCTGCATTCTGGTTTCGATGGAGCCCTCCCTTCAATTAACCCTCCACCCTCTTGTGGCCCGAGAGCACACAGCTGGCAGTGAGGCACAGGAGGGAAGGTTGGAACCCCAGGTGAGTCTCATGACCTCGGCCAGCCCCCCTTCTGTGAGGCCTAACCCTGAGGGACTGGGTCTCTGAGGAAGATGGCTGCTCTGCTCGGAGGGCAGCACCTACAATAGTGCTTTACACAGCTTCACACACCAACTGTGGGGGCTGGGTGAAAGCTCAGAGCATTTCTGGGACAAGGTGACATTGTCATTGACAGCCTGTTGAAGAATGATGCTAATTTTCATTGATGCCTAGGCCTTCCACCCTAACTTAATTAGGCCAGGCACTAAAACCTTCACTAATAACTGTCAGGAGGACCCCTGAGTCACCAGGGAATGACAAAGCTTGGCCAGCAACCAGCCTCTGGGGGAAGGAAAAGTGTGACTTCACTGCTGCCTCCCTCTACAACTGTCCTCAAGGGTCACCAAAGACCCCTAGATTGGCCAGCCCACTCCCCACCTGTTGGCAGTGGCAGAACATGAATGATTGACATGCGTCTGTACACAAACTGCACATATGCAAATATCCCATCACAGATTTTTAGTTTTCGTTTTTGAGCAGGATTTCTCTGTGTCGCCCTGGAACTTGCTGGAACTGACTGTCCTGGAACTTGCTCTGTAGACCAGGCTGGCCTCAAACTCAGAGATCTACCTGCTGCTGCCTCCTGGGTGCTAGGATTAAAGGCATGTACCACCTGGCCCCAGCACAGACAACAGATGTACAGACCTTGAATCCCCTGCCTCCATCGCCCATATGTTGGGATTACTGGCCAACCCTGCCAGCCCTGGTTTATGCAGTGCTGAAGACTGAGGGCTTCATACAAGCACCCCACCAACTGAGCGGCATCGGAGCCTATAGCAGAGCATTTTAGGAAAAGAAAACAATCTCTTTACCCTAAGGCAACTACTTCCAGCTTCATAATATTCCATACCAACCCATACAACACGTTTTGGGTTGACTCCCTTTTATTTCCATTTTCCTGTAGTTATTGCTTATAATCTGCTAACTTAGACTCAACTGGGGTTTATAGGTTTAGAATTGGGTACCTGTATACTAAATGCAGACTTGTGGATGTAGCGTAGCCTGGCAATAAATTCAGGGTCCTCCTGCCTGTGGCATGTTGGACTACAGTTGTCTGCTGCTTCATGCCCACACTCTTGCTCTCTTCCTCGCTCTGTCTCTCTCTCAAAAGAAAGCAAAGTTCTAAGGCAAGAACTGAGGTGATGTGAGTTAGCTGCTAGCAGCAGCCCTTTTCTGGGATGAGTTGAGTCTGGTGAAGCCCTGCCCAGACCTGGTCCTGGCCAGGCAAGGGTGGGGATGCTCTTCAGTCCTCCCTGATTAGTATCAGCCAGCCCTAGGGAAGTGTCGAGGGCCCGTGACTTTACACGCAGCCAAGCTCACACGGCGGACATAAGCCTTGAGCAATGCTCGCTGTGTCTCTGCTAGTTCAAACTGGTTTAATACAACATGACAACTCATCTATTCACTAGTGATTTTTTTTTCAAAAAAAAAAAAGGAAGCCTAATGCTTTTCGTCATACCCCACATCACATCTGCTGCCACTCATAAATTCTTGTCCTGCCTCAGCCACATCACATCTCTCCCTGCCTTTCACCTGTGATTTACTGCTCCGTTACTTATTTTGCCAGATTTATAAACTTTGCAGTGCTTTATGGAATACCCACTTTGTCCAACAGTCAACAAAGCCAGTAAATTTATTGTCTATGAATTGTTACTTTGAAAAATTACATCAATGCAGAGTGATTGCCTTTTAGCCTCCCTAGCCAATAAATTCATCTTATTTTTTGGAGGGGACATATGAGGTCACAGGATGATGGATAAAACGGGCAATCCCTCAGTGAGGAGTCAGAAGTTCTCTGGAGCAGCTGCCCAGCAGGACTTCTCCTCCTCATCATGGATCAGCTGGCCTTTTGTTGCCTGCTCTTCGTGGGACTCCTGAACCCACTCCTGTCGCTTCCAGTCACTGACACCGGTGAAAGGTCTCTCCAACTTCCAGGTGAGGTGATTGCTTCTATCAGTTGTAGGTGCCTGCTCCTGTAGGAGCAGGAACGGGATGCTGGCTAAAGGGGGTCTTCATGCTTTGAAGGCTCAAGGGACCCTCACTGTGTCTTAGATTTAGCCATGGCCATGATCTTCTCTAAGCAAATTGCTTATCTCATGTCACAGATGCACTTCAGACTGCTGTGGTGGTCAGCTTCATTTATAAAAATTGGACTGAGTTTAAACATTAGCTTCAGTTTTTGAATGAGCCGGTTGAGTGTAGGCATGGTTTCCCCAACTACAGACTAGTTAATTTGGTATCAGGTCGTGTATTAAGATCCCATAAAAATTTTAACTGGATTTAATATTTACTTTTGGCTACTAAAACAAAAATTCTTTTATATTTGTTGTATGTGCATGCACACACCAGGGCCCTGACCTGAAGGAGCTGGTCTCCAGCATGTGGGCAGGCTTGTGCTAGCAACCTTCCTGTGCTGAGCCAGCTCACCGGCTCCTGCTTTTGGGCGCGTTCAGACAGTTTCCCAAGGCAGATGCTCTGGTCTCTGCGCCGACCTCCGGCCAGCGTTCACTCACATTCTGTCCATCAGCCGCTGGGGTCACTGAATTCACACTGGCACTTAGCCTACTGGTCAAAAGCGGGCATGAATCAACTCTGCTATTTTTAAAAGAGCCAGTGCACAATGCGAAGAGAAACCGGCAAGGCTCAGACAGCAACGCCACTTTAGAAGGTCTACAAGGGAAGCTCAGAGACGAGGGTGGCCTCTTATTCAGATTCCAAACAGGTGAAGGCTTAGAGCTTTGACAGAATTTTTGCTCAGGCTTGTTTCTCCCTGAACATCCTTCCATTTACACACCATCAAAATTGTGGAGGGAGCCTTCTGAGGACTGCAGGCATGTGCTCGATGCCTTTGCAATGCTTAGTTCACCATCTTCCACCAAGGCTGCAGGTGAGGATGTGTCAGCCTGCGGCATTCCAGTGTCTTCTGTGGCTCTGCAGCCAGACTCCCAGAGCATTTCAACACGCTGGCACCTGCTCAAGACACACGTCTCACTGCTGGCCTCCACCGGTCACCCATCTTGCACGCACCTAGCATACAGACCCTGCATGCATACACCCTGTGCACTTAGCACACACACTTTCTACACTTACACCCGTTACTGTGAATTACTCCTCACACGCATCTGACGCACGTGCTGCACGTACTGACCCCTCACACCACACTTAGCACACACAGCTTGCACACAGCACACACCCAGAGCGTACTGACCATACACACCTTCCATGCATTTACCTCATTCCCTCACGTACCATCTACACCTCATACACCTTGAGTGTCAATCTCATTTCACACAGAAGTAACAAGGCAGCATCTGAAGCATCTGAGAGGTGCAGTAGAGAGATGCTGCCATCACCTTCCCTATAGGAACTCTCTCTCTCTCTCTCTCTCTCTCTCTCTTTCTCTTTTGCCTTACATTCATTCAGAAACCTCAAAGCCAGGGGCAACAGGTTGCAAGTGGAGATGAGGATGAATCACTTTCTGAGCCAAACCTGCATTTGGGGTCTTGTGGCACTGCTCCCCCTCCTGCCCAAGGAAGGTGGCCGCAATGGCAGGGAGCCGTGGTCCACGAGTTCCTCACCTTTGGACTCCTGATGGCCTGTGTTGCACCTTTATTTCTGCTAAATGCCACTGTGACAGATCACCAAATCCTCATTTGGTGTTTCAGTATCCACCTCCCTCAGACAGGGAACAGAAAAGGTCAGGTGAAGGCCAGAGTGGGCTAGCTGTCTGTTCCTACCTCACAGAGCTCGAAGAAGATGCCCGCTCGGCTCTGGAGGACCTGGAGAGGACTGCCCTCCTGCAGACACTTCGGCAGGCAGTGGGTGCAGAGGCAGGCGAAGGCCTTGGGGAAGCAGGTAAAGGCACGCGTGGACTTCTGGGTGGACTCCATAGATACTACATTTGCCCTCTATTCTAGCTGTTGGAGAAAGCTGAATTACATAAAATACCATTTCCTGTAACACTTCTTAGCCTTAGTCTTCCTCTGCCATCCTATTGTACGCTTCTACCAGACTTGAGGCAAGTCTAGGCTCCATAATAAAGCATATATATCCTCAAGCCAAACCAACAACAGCAACAGAAATGCCCTCTTGGAATCAATTGAAGAATTAATTGAATAATAATAATTAATTGAAGAATCAATTTAAAAAATGCAAGTCAGGCTGGAGAGACGGCTCAGAGGTTAAGAGCCTTTGCTCTTCCAAAGGTCCTGAGTTCAATTTCCAGCAACCACATGGCAGCTCACAATCATGTGTAATGAAATCTGGTGCCCTCTTTTGGTGTGCAGGCACACATGCAGACAGAACACTGTATAAATAATAAATAAACAAATCTTTTTAAAAAATGCAAGCCAAATGTTTAACAGGCCAAAATGATGAGTAACAGTAGACACAGTGACTCATACCTATAAACCTCGAGTCTGAGGCCAGCCCAAGACCCTGTCTCAACAAACACACACACTGTGGAAAAGATAGCAGCTTTGATTATTTTTTGTTTCTCCACATACTGATGAAATGCTCAGAACATCTGGGTACAAGATGGAGACTCTTTCAGTAGACATTGCTAACCAACAGTCCAGCTCTATTTTTTGACAAACCATGAGGTTAATGAGAAAAATTTAAAAGTCTGAGGTCAGAATCCTTGTCTGCACTCAAGTACACACTGCCTCAGTGTGAGGACGGGAAATGAGACACAACTTAAGGATGCTCTATTTTCCCTCCCTGCATGTGTGCTGTACATATAGGTGTGGGCCTTGGAGTTGTATGGAGGGGATTTTCTCCAGCTCTCTTCACTTTACTTACTGAGGCTGGCTCTCTAGCTGAGCCCGGGCCTTTTTAATGCAGCTGGGTTTAGCCCAGTTTGCCCCAGGGGTCCTGTCTCTACCTTCTGCTATCAAGGTGGCCTCCAAGCCCAGCCAGTTTTTACACGGGTCCTATGGTCTCAACTTTGTCCTCAAGCCTGTAGCTAGTACACCACAAGCCATCGCCCAGCCACGGAGTCTTAGTGTGTTTTAAAATAAGCATAACTGCCGAGCGTGCTAGCAAATGCTACAGGTGGGTCTCTGTGAGACCAGCCTGGTCTACACGGAGAGCCCCTTCTTAAACAAACAAACAAACAAACAAACATACAGCCAAACAGCAGACTGACAACACGGTATCAACCTGTCTTCCAGATCCCAGTACTGACACCCCCGACCCAAGGGAGAGCCTGAGGAAGGTAAGGAGCTCCGGCTTTTGAGGGAGAAAAGCTGAACTTCTCAAACTCAATTTACAGAACCCTAATCCTTACCCAAGACTGTTCTAAAGAAATCATGCCTTAAAATAATTAGCCAGTGTCCTTCCAAAGCACAAGTTTTCTGAACTGACTCACAGAATACATGATTGTAACAAGAATTTAACAAGCGCCTGCTTTGGGTAAATTTCAGTAAAGTGTAAGGCTGCTGCCAGGTTTTCGGCCCACTGCCCTGCTGGGACCCACAGCACTGCCATCACTAGGAAGCAGGTGAGAAACGCAGTCTTCACCCACAGGACCTTCCAGTCAAACCTGCAATTTAAGCCATGTGCAGGGGACTGAAACATCAGTCAGTGTGGGGCACAAGGCACCACAGGAAGGGGACTGCAGGGTGGTGTGCTCCTCTTCTGGGTGGGGGTGACAGGACATGCACAGACAGAGTGTGGGGACTGCTGTATGTTCCCTGAGGGGGTCTCCCTTGAGCTTGCCCTCTGCCCTGGCAGTCTGTTCTGAGGTCAACATTGATGGGCCTTTAAACAAGCCCGTCCCAGTCCCATAAATCAAGGTGCCCCCGTTGCTGTAATCGCCACAGCATCCTGGCCTCAGCCACCTTGAGATGATATCCCAGAGACCACCTGAAGCCCGTAGGGGACAAACGGCTTCTGTGTGCAGCTAGTGAGGAGTCATTGCTCAGACAACTACCTTTTTCTCAACACGAGAATTGTCTTAGCTAGGGTTACTATTGCTGTGGTGTAACAACCAAAGCAAGCCAGGGAGAGAAGGGTTTATTCAGCTTCTGTTTCCACATCACTGAAGAAGTCAGGACAGGAACTCAAACAGGGGAGGGACCTGAAGGCGGTGTGTGTGTGTGTGCGCGCGCGTGCGTTTGTCCTCCTTACCAGCTTATCACGGCATGTTCAGTGTTTTCTTACAGAACCCAGGACCACCACCCAGGGATGGCAGCACCCACAATGGGCTGGGCCCTCCCACACCAACCACTAATTAAGAAAAAGCCCTACAGGCTTATGGCTTGATATTACAGGACTTTTCTCAAGTGAGGCTCTTTCCTAACTGATGACTCTAGTTTGTGTCAAATTGACATAAAGATATCCAGTACAAGGATTATCCCTCAGGCCTAAAACCGTTTATGTAAGATGTATTTACTTAATTCTAGAATAAAAAATAAGCTATGGCTCAACCTTTAAAACAGGCCAATTCTGACAGAAAAGATCTACATTACACAGAAGGCAAGTGTCCAGCACTGCTTCCTGACAGAAGTACTGCACAGAAAGGTCACTGAGAGGTCAGGGGAACTCAAGGCAACAACAGGGTTAAGCAGGCTGGGTGAGAGCTGCAGAGCCCCAGTGAGGACTCTGAACTAAGGTCACTTATCTCTGGACTTCTGGTTTCAGGCTTTCTCTGGGCAAGATTCTAACACTGTACTTAGCCGTCTTCTGGCAAGAACCAGGAAACAACATAAGCAACATAGGACCGCCTCAGAATGCTTCTGGAAATACTGCATTTGAGGAGAGACAAGCAGCAACTGGTCTCCTCAGAACCACCACTTCAGAAAACTAAAAAGGAAGATGCTTGAAGAAAAAAACCCAGGCTACCACCACCCTGTTCTTCATTATTATGAGAAATAAACCCTCTATGTTCCACAAGAATCACTCATGGTGGAGTTTACTTACATATATCCACAAGCATCACATACAGTTGGCTTTACTTACATAAACATCCTGAAAATCTATAACCCATCTCCCCCCCATTTGTATTTCCTTTTTCTCAGAAATTTTCAAGTTGGGCTGGAGGTGTAGCTCAGCAGCAGAGACTGTTGCCTAGCTGTGTGAGTTCTCTGTTCTGTCCTGGGTGCTGCAAAACAAGGAAGGAACTGTCTAAGTAGAGGCAACATGTGAGCACACACCGCAGAGTAAGAAGAAAAAGGCATAAAAAAAAAAAAAAAGATTTGGCCAAAAGTCTCTGAAGTCACAAATGATTTAAAAGTAAATTACTTCATTATTACATCTTTTCAACCCTTAAAAAATAAATACATAAGTCGCTTGCGGGAGTGGGGTGGTGGAGAGGAAGAGGAGGTCTCTGGTATTCCTGAGCTTGAAAAGCTGGAATGCAAAGGTGCCTGCACTGGGGAGGGCGGGGGATGGTCTGCAGCGTTTCTTCTGGGGAGTCTGCATGTACAGATTCTTGCTCTGGGCTACAGTATGGAGCACTTGAACCTTCCCTGCTTCCAACCTCTGTGGACTTTAGCGTCATGGCTGACTCACTTTAAGTGAGGGAAACTCAATTCCCTTCAGCTAATAACGGCAAAACACCCTGAGTTCTCAAGCGCTGACATGGGGATTCAGGCTGTGGAATGGAATCCAGGTTATTAACATTTAAGCCCCATACTCCATGCACAACTGTGGCAGTCTGCAGATGGCCAGACACCTTGCCTGGAAGTCACAGCCATGACCACAGAGCCACAGGCTGGGAGCACTGTCTTCCAAAGAAGCAAGTTTTCCTACATGAGTCCAGCCATTCCACCGAAACAAGCAGCTGAGGGTCAGGTCTGCATCAAGGCACCAACCTCAAGCCACTGTGTAACCCTTGCTCACCTTTGTCACCAAATATCACCAATGCCTTCAAATACACCTCTGAAAAAGCTTTCCTAGTCTAGACACAATGGTGGCAGCTCAGCAGGGAAAGCAGGTGTGTAAACTCAAGCATTCTTGCATCAAGTCTGGCTATGAGACTTGCCGCTCAGTGTAGAAAGCAAAGTAGCTCTCACTTTTGGCAATCCCCAAAAGCCAACACTAGCTTCTAGTGCACTAGTATGTTCTAAAAACCATCACTAGGTGTGGTGACCTGGGCGAATATTTTACGACTGACTGCTAAGCTCACGGAGTCCTCCACCGCTTCAGCAGACTACCTGTAAAGCGAGAACAGCAGCCTCCGGGGGCTGTTGTGAGGTTGAGATGACACAGTTCCTACAGAGCACGTACAGTAGCCTGGCTGGACACAGACACTATGAACACTGGGCTATGCTGGTCTTGCTGTTGTTATTAGAGGAAGGTACAAATGACTGGAAAGGCATAAGACTTAAGGCCTTCCTGGCTCCAGGGTCAGGATTCGGGGTCCTGCTCTGTATTTTGCTCTAATAACAATTGGACTTTGTAGACGCTTCAGGAATAATTTTATAATTTTACTATACTGGCATAAGCCAATAGCATTACACATATGTCTACACATACAAATACCCAGGACCCAGTGAACTCTTCTCAGGGCTAAAGTGAGGACTAAACATACTACAAATGCCTCTGTCTTCCAGAACAGGAGCAAAGACAAATTTACAAGGTAAACACTCGTGAGAATGATGATGTTGACCTTCAGGGAAAGCAGGAAGCAGCTCTAGCCGACACCACACATGCTCAAAGCTTGCTTACACAATGAAGAGCACGCTCCACTTTTATATATACACTGTTTATTGTTTTTACTCAAAAAAGATGCCAAATGAAAAGATTAATATCCACTGAGTACAAGCAAATTCACAGTTAATTATAAACAAATTGCCAATTTGGTTAAAATTTACCACCTTGTGAGCAAATATTTTACTCAATCCATCCACACTATCTGCTTTCAGAAATTTTGACCTCTGATCCAAGAAAATAAAGCTTTAGGGAAAGGTTTATGTAAACACTGAAGTCTACAATACATACTTCTATTACCAATTCTCTAGTCATTAATATAAAAGTCAGTAAGTGTCAACAACAGTTCTCCTGGGTAGGGCCCCCATGGGGGGCAGCAACCTCTGCTGGACCAGCGCTCAGAAGCAGGGGTTGCTGGGTGCACTGACAGTGTCCTAGCAGAGGCGAGCCTTGGTAAGAGACTTTACAGACCTGACCACAAGCACCAGTTTCAAATCAAGCCTGGCATAAAACAGACTCCATGAGAAGTGGAGTAAGGCAGAGAGATACGGAACTGTGAAACAGGTACCCGGAACCTATGGGAAAGGGCCTCTCTACCAGAAAAAGTCAGGTCTGATGCGTGTGTACACAAATGCTGGGTGACCCTTGGTAGCTCCAAATAGCAGAGCCCTTCCCTAGAGAAGGCCAACCTGACTAACACAGGCCTCGGACACCCCTCAGCCCTCCAGATGGAGTGGGTTATGAGAAGTCTCTAGTTGCACATCAGGAATACTTGTACGGAACTGCTTAATACCACACAATCCTAAGAAATGTCACAGGCAGCATTTGAAAATGTTTGTGACACCTTCTGACAGGACTGCCATCCAGAGAACCCTTAATTTAGAAACAAAGTCTGAGCCACAGAGCAGAAGGGCCCAGCAGACGTCATGACCTTGTCCTGACTACAATGACAGAGCACTTATCAACAGCTAGAAATTGTCAGAGGAGAAAAATGTCTTCCTAAAATAAAACAAAACAGCAACAACAACAACAACAGGAAAAGAAAGAAAGATAGAAAGGAAGGAAGAAAAAGAAGGAAGGAGAAAGGAAGGAAGAAAGGGAAGATAGCCTGCTGGAAGTGATATGAGTGAAAGGTTACTGCAAGCTCATTCCTTTCAGGTCCTTCCTCTGACCTCCATGGTGTGGGTCGCACAGTCAGTCCAACTTGAAGAAGGGACCTTGGACTTCTGTAAGCTAGAGCACCAGAGAGTGAGTGTGCAAATCCATGAACAATCACACTCACTTCCTGAGACAGAGCTGCTTGGAGAGCACTGACTCTTGGGATTTTGGGGTCACTGAGCTCCCGTAGTGTAGTCTCACTCTGCAGCCCCAAACACTTACCCCTGTTCAAGGGCAAACAAAAGGCAGTGCCAGTCAGACCTCTGGTCAGCATGGAGACCTCTTTGTGGAACTCCGTGAAAAGGAAAAGTTAACTGTTAGTTCTGGTACGCCTGAGCACACACACCTCCAGAATAACACTAATGTAATTTTAAAAACCTTTCACATTTAACTTATAACAACAACAACAACAACAACAGAAAGAACTTTAAAAAAATGCTACCGGGTGAGTACGAGGCTTTTTTTAACATGCAAGGCTCAACTTCAATTCTCCAAAGAGTAAGCCTTGTTCTAGGAGACAGATCTTGGAGAAAGAGCTTGCACGAAAGGCAGCCATCAACAGGAAGTTTATGGACAAGAACAGGCTCAAACAACCAAAACCATAATCCCACATTTCCTAGAGAATGATGTACTCTACTGTGTTGTGAGAAAACTGGAATGTCTCTTCACGATCAGGAAGCACCATGCTGTACAAAGCTTAGATCAATGTGTTAAGCTCATGGAAAACATCATGAGATCCACATGACCTACAGACGAATTTCAAGTATTCTAATGGGAAATGATGTAACAACAGAACAAAACAAATGAGACTAAGGCTTGTAACTTACTCAGGGTGACTTCTGAATCAACTTTTATCAGACACATACCTCTTCAGAGGCAAGCCGATGTCTTCAGGTGACAGCTAAGCTACAGAAGGCTTCTCATTGGCAGTTTTAGTATCAGGATCAAGAGCCTATGCATACCCCTGCTTTGAGAAAATGTCATCTATTAAAAACCAGAGAAGGGAGGGCTGGGGACACAGGTCAGCAGGAGAGAGTCCCAGCCTAGTGTGTGCAAGGCTCTGGGTTTGATCCCCAGTGCTACCAAAAACCAAAATGAAACAAAAGCCAGGGAAGATCCAGGAAGTGTGTGCAAGGCCCTGGGTTTGATCCCCAGTGATACCAAAAACCAAAACGAAATAAAAGCCAGGGAAGATCTTAGTGTGGATGACTTTGTCATTGAAGACCTTGGTGAGGTGACAAGACATCTCTGTGTCCCACACAACCTGCAGAGTATGAACTGACATCTTCACAGTTGCTCAACTGGTGTCTTCTGCTGTATGCTGTTCCTGGATCTCTGTGGTGTCACCAACTGAACCTCTGTCTTCACAGGGGACACAGGTCTCCAAAAGAGAGCAAAGACAAGTGTGTTATTTGATGTTAATATCATCTGATGCGTTTGAAAACAACGAAAAGGCTGAATTAAGGGAAGATTTTTACAAGCTGGTTTTTGTCACTTGACACAAATCTAGACATATCTGGGAAGAGGGAACCTCAACTAAGAAAATACCTCCATCAGACTGACCTACAGGCAAGTGTGTGGGGCATTTTCTTGATTAATGAGTGAGGCAGGAGGCCCCAGCTCACCGTGGATGGTGCCATCCCAGGGCTATGGCCCTGGCTGATATAATAGTAAACTGACCAAGCCACGGGGGAACAAGCCAGTAAGCAGTGTTCCTCCATGGCCTCTGCGTCAGTTCCTGCCTTGAGTTTCTGCCCTGGCTTCCCTTCATGATGAACTGTGACCTGTGAGGTCAAATAAGTCCTCCCCTCCTGAGGGTTTTGCTTACAGCACTTCTAGTACAGCAACAGAACCCTAACTAAGGCAGAAGGCACAGAAAGAAAATACATGAAAAAATGGGAGCATCAACAAAGTAAGAGGACACAAAGAAGCTATCAAAACATCCTAAACCTGAAAAAGACAAAACAGGTTAAACAACAACAACGACAACAAAACACCTC